AGGGGTTGGCCACAGTGCCACTGCGGGTGGCTCGTTTTTAGTTTGCTTGGGTCATGGCGCGGAGTTGGCGGGTAGCGGAAATCCTCTTCTGGATTCGCTACGCGCGGGCGCAGATCTCACGTGTCGGTAGGCGGCCAGCCCCATCGCGGTTGCGCCGTCTCGCGCCTTGCCGAATTCTTTTTCAGGTTTCGTACCCGCGCGTCTCGTAGCGATCAGCAACCCTGTGACGCTCAGGTGCCGCTCATTCCCTTCCGGATGTGGCGGAGCCGGCGGGTAGCGAAAATCCTCATCTGGTTTCGCTACTCGGGGCGCGGATGTCAGTTTCCGCGTGCGACCCCATCAGCTGTTGCGCTGGCTCGCGCCTTGTTCGGGGTCGCGCAGACAACCAAAGTCCCTTTCAGGTGCACCAGCGTGCGCCGTCCACTGTGGCAACCTTGTGACGCTCAGGTGCCGCCCATTCGATCCTGGACGGCGCGGGGCACTAAAATTGGCCCTGGCGCCTGGTTCAGTCACATTGTGGACAGCGCGATGTGCAGGATTCCCATCTTGAGTTGGTATCAGAGCGCTGCTCACTTTGACGAGGCAACCCTGTGGCGCCCAGGTGCCGCCCGCTCGGTCTGAGCGAACGGAGCTGTGCGCAATGCCGTGGTTCACACAAACCCTTGTTGTCCCGTTGGGCGCGGGGATCAAAAAAATCATAAACTTCTCCTCGCCCTCGCCTGCTCCCTGGTCGGAGGTGGGGGAGCATGTATGACGTTGGTGGCCATCCGCAGGCCTGGCTGCCGCACGCCCCCTGCGATCGCCCAGCGCGTCCCAGGAACAGGCAGGAGCGCAGCGGGGACGCTGGCAAACGTTCGCGCAGCTGGAGGGCGGAGGATGGAGAAGGAGGCCTCCCCAACCTAGCCTTCTCCCTTCTTTCGCTCCCCTCGGCTCAACGTTGCCCCCCAGAGTTTCTTTTTGTGCCCCCTGACAGGCCAAGCTCCCTGAAACGAGCTGCGACTCTGTGCTCCCGGACCGGAGCGGCGCCCGAAGCTCTCTAGCAGGAGTCGCGCCTGTGGGCCTCCTGGGTTGGCTCCGTGGCGCGGCGGGGCGCCAGCGCGCCCCCTAGCAACAGCCTGTCCGCTGTCTGCCAGCCTTCTGGCGCCAGCGCGCCCAGAATGCCACGTTCGGAAAGCGCGACCAGCCCAGACTTGCATCGGAGCGCAACTGCGCGTGTTCTGGCCCCGGCGGGCCCAAATTCGCATTCCGACGCGCAGGTCGCGCATTCTGGCGCCACCGTCCTCAGATGCGCAGTCTGTGCGTGGATCCGCGGAGTGGCGCCCAGAATGTCATTTGCAGCTCTGATCTGGGCTTTCTGGGGCGCGCCAACAGAGAATTGCACATGGAACGCGAATCCGCACATTCCGGCGCGCGCCTAGATTTCAGCGCCGAAACTGTCAGTGCGTGGAAGATGGATGGCAGTTTGTGCCATTTGGGCGTTGCGAATGTTGTGCTCCGCCCAATTGGGGTTCTCGGGGTCGGATGTGTGCAGGCGGCAGAAGCTAGTCCTTGATGGGGGGGCATTGGCTAACCCCCCACCTGCACACAACGGGGGCGGGTGCGTTTGCCCGCCCCCGACCGACCCCGAGACCCTGCGTCCAATAGCGCACGTGGTCTAAAGTCCATGCTGACGCCTTTTCACTAGCGTACTCAGAATTCAATTCTGGTGCGGCTCGTGGAAATCTGGCCCAGGAGGCTAAACGTTGATGCAGATTCCGGCGGGATTTTATCGATTCAGGATTCGCAAGTCGGCCGTCCAGGCCGGATGATTTCTCAAGGCTGGCTCTTCTCAGCCATTCTGCTGAGCTGCAGTCCTCCGCCGCGGGCTGCAAGTAGCGGGGAACGTGCGTAAGCCTTCCCGCGAACCGTCCAGGAGGACAGCATCGCCCAAAACGGCCGCTCTACCATCCATCATCTTCTGCTCTTTCCATGAGCAGCAACTCGCCTCCAGCGCCGGTCGCGTGTCGTGCGCCGCCAGCGCGCAGCCATTTCTTGCTTTCACATGACAATATTCAGTCGGAGGGACTGGCCATTGCTGGAGAGTCGTTCCGCGGAGGTCCGGTTCCCGCGGCGCAGGCTATGTTAAACAGTCGGCACGGTTGTACCCCACACGCCGTTTGCGAGCCTGGACGGTGCATTCAGGCAAATCTTTTCGAAGCATGGCCACGCGGGTCTAGCAAGGCCATCGGCAGTGCTGTCGACTGTGTGGGCTCTTCCCTGTCTGTACGCCCGTGCCCCTATGACGCCGTCTGCCGGCCTGGGTGGTGCACTCAGGTCGCAGACGGGGATAGGAGGCGGGGGTGTCTTCTGTTTTTCCCTAAACAGCACCTCGCCTTCAGCGCCGCGTCACGTTCCCCTTTTCTGCCAAGGTGTTGTCGACAGCGAGAGTGCTTGTCCCTACGGCCAGTTGAAGGGATCGTCCTTCATCGTATACTTGCCCAATAGGTCCAGATATTCTGTGCTACCAGGGTGGTGCTACCCTGCCGCTATCGCTTTGCAGGCATCGCCATCGCATGTGTAGTCATTTGGGCTCGAATGTGCAGCTGGTTCGATCACGCCACGCTGAATGACTCAATGACGGATAGATTTTCGCAACTACTTGCACAAGTCCGCCAAGCCAACGACAACCTCTCATGGTGGCAAGGCATCCGAGGTCTCACACTGAAGTTGGACAAGCTGAAGCAGCTCGGCGCCACTCCAGATTTCCTCAACAAGTGGCTCCACGGTCAGCCACTGGGCGCCGCGGCAGCAGCACCCACAAAGACGCCAAATCATCCATCCCTCACAGAGCACGATACCTGGGCCATCGTTGAGTGGAGCCGTCTGGAACGTCTTGGCAAGGTCTTCATGCTCCCGCCAGGGACGAGGATACCCGCACGCTTGAATGTTAATCCGTGCGCTCTGTTGCTTAAGCCGCGGGAAGGCGCCGACGACGCAGCGCCAGAGGTTGACCGTTGGAAAGCACGCTTGATTCTTGACTTGCGGCGAGGCCGCGTGAACGAACGGCTTCCCCAGGTTGTGGTCGCTTAGGGCACGCTGGACATGGCTGTGTCGCGTCTTCGCCGCGGCAGTTACATGTTCGTCATTGACCTTCAAGATTTTTTTTTTTTTTTTTTTTTTTTTTGCGTGTCCACCCAGACGATGCAGATTTGCTGGGTTTTTACTGTCCAGCCCGGCAGCAATATGGGCGTTACAAGTTTCTCCCTTTTGGTATTGCACCAGCGCCTGGGTTTAACGATTCAAGCATGAAGGAACTTCTTCGTCTTCTCCGGCTTTCGCGGGGGGCTGACCTGCTCGATTTCGTTGACGATTTGTTCGGCGTGGGCGAGTCAGAAGAATTGGCGTGGTCACGTTTGGAATCAGCTGTCGCTTTCTTTGCCGAGGTCGGGATTCCAGTGAGCGGCAAGCCGACTGGCATTCGGCAGCCCAGCACGCGTCAATGTTGGATCGGCTGGATTTTCGATTCTGTCGAGGAAGTGGTCACCGTGTCACGAGAAAAGTGCAACAAAACATGTCGTGCCATTGTTGATAACCTCGCGCTTGACAATGAACGCAACCTTCGGGCCAAAGACGTAACTTCTGCAGCCGGCTTGATATCCCACCTCGGGGAGTTATATCCACAGGCGCGGCGTCGCTTGCACCCGATCTGGTCGGATCTGAACGCGGCGGGGGTATATTCTTTTTGGAGTAAGTGCCCCCAGGCAAACCCTACAGTGCACGTGTCGGAACTCAGCCGCAAGAGTCTTGCTTGGGGATTGAACGCTTTGGCCATTCCGCCAAGGCGCGTCCTGCACAACTTCGCTGGTCAACTTAGCAACTGGGGACACAAGTCGCTGGAGCACGGGCGATGAAACGACTTGGCAAAAGAAGGTTCCATTCGCATTGTGGAAACGGACGCTTCTGGTCAGACAGGTTGGTCCTACCATCTTTGCCATTCTGGCAGATCTGTTTCTGGTGTGCGGCCGCCCGACCTGGCTGAAAAAGAGGGCGTGCCGCACGACAAACTTGACATCAACTTTAAGGAGTTGTGGGTGATCGCCAAGTGCGTGGAAGACAACGAGGTGGACCTTAGCGGCTGACGCGTGCTGTTTCGGACCGACAACACGTGCGCAGTGCACTACACCAATGTGGGTTATGGCGCCATTCCAACTCTTGAAAGGCTTGCCGTGAAGCTGGAGGCGGCAGAGCGCCGCGCCTCTTGCTGGGCCCTTGCTGCGCACATCTCTGGCGTGGCGAACAGGGCGGCCGACCTCGGCTCTCGCGATGTGCAGTTTTCCGCCCGGTGGAATTCTGACGTTTTCCGCGCAGCTTGTGTGAAGGATTCAGTTTTCCACGACATCCTCTCTCGCACGGGCGTGTCTTTCACCTTGGATTTGTTTGCTGACAGGGCGGGTCTTACAGCCAAAGCCCCCTTTTGGCGTTCCCCTGAGCTGTCCGCCTTCGAAGCCACCCTGTCCGGAGAAATCATTTGGGCACGTCCGCCCAGAGAGTTGCTGAAAGCGACGCTTGAGTTCCTGAATTCGGCACTGCAGAGCTCCGATCCGCCTCAGATTGTGCTTCTCTGTCCAGAAGACGCGGGGGGCCCATGGTTCCGGCCGAAATTACTCCAGCTTTGGCATCGGGTGCGCTCATCGCTCATGGCCTGCTGGTTCCGATTTATTCAGATTTCACTCGGGCTCTGCTTTCCGCAGCGGTCCGAAAACTGACTTGCCTTACTTGCTACTTCAGAGCTGGGCGCCTAATCGGCGCAAGCGCAAGCGCTAGAAAAATCATCTCAGTCACGCTGATGTTCTAATCGGTCTTACCCTGGGAACGTCGCTGCATTCGGCGCTTGGGCAGTCACGCCAACACTGCCAGTCCTCGCAGCGTTTTCAGCATCAGTCCCCAGCAACCCATAGCACTCCACGCGGGCGTCCTCGCCTGAGACATTCCCCAGTTTTCTGCCGGCGCTGCCTGTCGCCATGGCCGACGCAGTCCAGGCCGCCATCGCCGCCGCGCTGGAGCCCGCCGGTGCGATGCACTCAGCCATCTTGGCTGAGATCGGGAAGGCGTTTGAGCAGGGCCAGCCAGGCGAGCTGGCCATCGCCGCCGGTGGGGCCGCCGCTGTCAACACGCACACCTGCGCCTGCGTGGCCGCTGCTCTGAAGGACAAGGATTCCGAGGTTTACCAGCTGATCCAGTCCGAGTACGACCGGCGCGCTGACGAAACCTTCCCCTGCAGGGCCAAACTGCGCCTGCTTACAGTCGCAGAGTGGGCAGCCGCCTGGCGCGATCTGGTTGTCGACTCGGACCAGGTCTCGTGGACCATGCAGGCGGTGGAGCACAACCCGGCCCTTGCCAACATCATGGCCTTTTCAGCAAGCAATCCCGCGAACTTGGAGCTTCAGGAGTTGAAGCGGGCTACTACGGCACGTCATGCGGCGAAGGTCTCCTGGAAGAAGCTGTGCCTGAGCGCCCACGGCGGCTCCTGGGACAAGCTCAAGAATTTCCTTCTGGAGAAATCCGATTCGCCTCTCGAGAACGTGAAGGTGCTAGCCCGTTCGTTGCTCGCGCTGATCAACCTGATCGAACGCCGCTGCGCTGTCGTGCAGTCGGCCGAGAAGAATGGCCCTGAGAAAGCTGCCGCCCAGAGGGCGGCGCTGATGGACACGATCTATCAGACGATCAAGCAATGCAAGCGGCGCACGACCAAGACCAGTGCTTCGTCCACCCTTGAGCACGAGGTGCTGCTCCGGGATTTTGCGCAGGACATCATCCTGGGCGGGGCGGCGGCGGCATTCGGGGGGCCATTGTCACGTTCGCGTGAGGCGCCGGCTTCTTCGGGCACTCAGGCAGCTACGTGTGACACTCCACCGCCGGCGAAGGTCCCCAGGCTCTCCGTCGCCTCCGATGGGCCGGCAGCCTCGGCCTCGCCAAACCCAAGTGGCGACAGGAAGCAGCTGGTGAACCGCCTGCTCCAGGAACTCGTCGGTCTCGTGCAGAAAAGACGCCCCCCGGCAAACTCCAGTCGTGGATTGACAAGCAGTACCAGGCGGACGACAGCCGCAGCGCCATGACTGTGGTTCTGAGGGATCACGCTTGCAAGAACTGATGTCCGGAAAAGGCGTGGTCAAGTACACCTTGAAGCAGTGCCGAGAGATGAAGAATCTGTGCGTCTTGCCGCGCACCAAGTGCACGGCCTCCGGCAGGACCACCAACCTGCAGCACTGGGTGGCGGAGTGCAAGCACTGAGTTCCGTCTTCCAGACCCCAGGCCCCGGCCCTGGCGGCTACCGTTGCGTACCTGGACGTAGCTGTTGCCGAGGTTCCAGTATCCTGCCTTCAGCAACTTTCGTTGCGTATCTGGGCGTAGCTGCTAGGCGGCCGCGGACTGCGTTGCGCAATCCGCGCAATCGTTTGCGAAACACCATTGCGTGTGCCACTGACGGCGGTGCCGCGGCGTGTCGTGCCTAGCCCGCTTTGGCGATGAAAATTTTTTCTTGCCTCTATGGGGTGTCCGCTCATACCGCAGGCCCTGCTAGCCGAAGCTCGCCTTTCTGGCTGCGGTGTCTTCCCGCGCTACTTGAGCCTTTGTTCCGTAGCCACGTCGGCTCAAACATGGAGGATTACGTTCACAGAAACGATTTCGGAAAGAATGCCACGGGATCCGCTGAGAGCAGCGTCGCCCCCGCCCCCGCTGTTCCGAAAGAGCCGGCCCCTTTGATGAGGCCACGTGGTGCCCCTGCAGCGGGGCCCGCTCCGCATTCTGCCCCGCCGCCAGGGCGTTCGCCGCAGGCGCCTGCTGTGGGCTCTCAGGGTCTTTTGGCTTTCTTGGCCAGCAGCCGTGCGGCGCAAGGCGGCCCGCTCGTGCCCCCCGACCGCTTGGGCGATCGGCGACTCCAGGGCCCGCGCCCAACCTTGCCCTTCCTGACCGAAGACTGCGCGCCGGCCGCGCTGGAGGCACGCCGGAAGGCAGCGTCGGACATCCACGCGTGCTTCAACGCGGCGTGGGAGGACAGCACCAGGACGCGCTACGACAACACGCTCCGCGGCGTGGTGAGCGGTGCGGAGTCGTCCACCCAGATGGCGCTTTTGCCTTGCGACAACGAGGTCACGCTGATGTTGCTCTTCTCGGGGTTTCTCCGGCGACCGTGGGGCTCAGTGTGCGCCGCCAAAGCTGCAGTCAGGGTTTGGCACCTCGAACGTAATTTGCTGCAGTCCTTCGAGGCTGCGTGGACCCCCCGGGCCTGGCATTTCTGGCGTGGTCTTAAGAAGCTGGCTGATCATTCGCTCCGCCGAGCAAAAAGACCGCTCTCGCTGTTGGGGATCACATCAGTGCAGCGGAGTCGCCTGGCACAGACTTCTGTCGCTGGCGTGAGGGATGCGGCCATGATAGCTTTTGCTTTTTTCGGCATCCGGCGTTTCGCGGAGCTGCAGGCACTCGTGGTGTCTGACGTGGTGGGCCAAGACACAGCGTTCCAGTTCAGGATCAGAAGGCAGAAGAATGATCCGTTCGGTGAAGGTCTGCTCGTCTGGGTGCCCGAGACCCAGGCTTTGGGGCCGCTGTGTCCGACGAAGTTGCTGCGGAGCTGGCTGCGTCTACGAGCCGAGGCGCGCGGGGAGGTCGAGGGTTTTTTCTTCTGCGTGACAGGGGCGGCCGATCTCAAGCCTGTTTCCGCCGACACATTCCGGCGCATGCTCGCTCGTCACCTCAGCGACGCACAGGTGGGCAGCCATTCCCTGCGGAAAGGCGGGGCGCAGTGGTGGAAGAACGCAGCGTCCCTGCCCGAAGAGCTTGTGCAAGGCCAGGGCGGCTGGTCGTCCATCGATGTGATCTGGAACTTCTACACGAAGTTTTCCGCAGCAGCTAGAAAAGAGCGCCTGTTGGAAGCCGCCCGTGCTGCGTGCTCGGTTGCACAGCCGTCGGCGAGCCGACCGGCGAATTTAGATGCATTGCCTGTCTGGCAACGTCCAATGTGATTCCTTTGTGCTGCGCAGTGAAAACATTGAGACGGCTTGGCATCCTGCGCTGGCGTCCCCGTCGGCCCACGCTTCGCGCCATCCTCCCGGACGTGTGCCTCGTGGGGGTAGGTGGCTCTCCTCTTCTGGAGGCGCTGCCGTGGCCTGCGGCAGAAGCAGCACTCCCAAAAGAGCCACATCCGTGGCAGGAGGAGTTTTGCACATTTCTTACGCTTCGCGTTCCTCCCGGCCGGGTGCCCTTGTCTTGGGTTTCCCCGGGGCCCCTGCGGCCTCTGGGGGCTGACAAATATGGCGGTGTAAAGCGGAAAGCGTTTTTTCTTAGGAGGCTGTGCAATCGGGAAATGTGGTTTCCGCGGCCACCCCATCTCATTCGTTTCCTCTCTACGCGCGCAGGCCTGGGAGGCGGTGCCGCGCGTCTCGCGGTCCCGCCCTCCCTCCCTGCGTGGCGTGACGTGCTGGTCGCAATCCACTTCCCTTCGGGGGGGTAGGTGGCTCTCCTCTTCTGGAGGCGCTGCCGTGGCCTGCGGCAGAAGCAGCACTCCCAAAAGAGCCACATCCGTGGCAGAAGGAGTTTTCTACATTTCTTACGCTTCGCGTTCCTCCCGGCCGGGTGCCCTTGTCTTGGGTTTCCCCGGGGCCTCTGCGGCCTCTGGAGGCTGACAAATATGGCGGTGTAAAGCGGTAATTTTCTAGCTCGCGATGATCTTCATCGCCTTGGTCCATGGGATCACTTGCGGTGGGCCAGTGCTTTGCCCGTTTGCGCTGAAGCCCCCCGCTTGCCGCAGTTTTTAGAGGCAGGGTGCGAGCGCATCGCTAAGATGGTATCCCCTCAAGCAGCACTGGGAACTAAACTGTCTTGAGCCTAGTGTGAGCTCAAGAGAGGAGCACAAAGGGAGGAGCGGCCTCAGACGGTGACGGTGACCTTTGACGACCTTTTGCCAAGGAGCAGTGCTGCTTGCTCCGCGAGCGCCTGGCGCCTCACGCGCCGGCGCCGGTCTTAGGCCACGCGTCGCGGGCCACGCCGCCAAGGCACTGTAGCGCCGCGGCGGCCTTGAAAAGTCCAGAACAGGCGGTAATGAGGCCCTTCACAGGGCCTCAAGGGTGGGCCAGCTTGGCCTCAAAAGGCTTGAGCCGCCAAATGGCGGCGGCAAAGAAGGGGAGAGAGGGCAAGCACGAGGCAAGGGCAGGAGCGAGGGGACCAAGGGAGAAGCGCCAGTCTTGGAAAACGGGGACATCCATCAGTTTTGCCAAACATCCTAGGTATCCCCTCAAGCAGCACTGGGAACTGAACTATCTTGAGCCTAGTGTTGGCTCAAGAGAGGAGCACAAAGGGAGGAGCGGCCTCAGACGGTGACGATGACCTTTGACGACCTTTTGCTAAGGAGCAATGCTGCTTGCTCCGCGAGTGCCTGGCGCCTCACGCGCCGGCGCCGGTCTTAGGCCACGCGTCGCGGGCCACGCCGCCAACCTCCTCCTGTGAATGCACCACCGCGCCGAGCTGGCTGTAGTGGGACACGCAGTCGCCGATCCTCTCGGCGTGGAACTCAACAGTCCTGGCGTCCGCGGCGCGCCGCCGCGTCTGCCCAGCAAGGCGGGTCCGCAGGCGCAGGGCGGCACGCCGCCGGCGCCCGCGGTGGTTCTTCGCACGCCCTAGGCGGCAGCCCTGGCTGGGCTGGCCGCCGGCGCCCCACGTAACCGTCACCGCCGTCCCCCATGACGGCACTGCCGGTTGCCAGGCCGGCGCGGCGCTCTTGCCCTCGGACGCCAGCTGCCACCGCGCCGCGCCCAGCTGCTCGCAAGCGCAAAGCTGAGCGCGGGCGCCAGGCTGAGCTCAGCCGGCGCCGCGCTGCCGCTCGCACGGCGGATGCCGGCGGCGGTGGTTACCCCTGCGTTCCGTGAACAGCCCTGGCTGGGTTAGCCGCCGGCGCACCTTCGAAGCCGCCACTGCCGCCCCCTTGGCGGCACTGCCGGGTGCCAGGCTGGCGCGGCGCCTGCCCGCGGGCAGCAGCGGCCGCGGCGCGCGCCCAGCTTGTTGCAAGTGCGAAGCTGATCGCGAGCGCCAGGCTGAACTCAGCCGGCGCCGCGTGGCCGCTCGCACGGCGGTTGCCGGCGGCGGTCCACGGCTGCCCGCTCGGCCGCTGGCCGGCGGCAGCCCGCGCCTTAGTCACGATGCGGCTTCTGCTCCCCTCCACGGGGCCACTCTGGCGACCTGCGGTGCCCTGCCGGGGAAACCCCCGCGTCACCTCATTGGCCCAGCGGAAGCCCTGGGTCTCGTGCACGTACCTCGCACCGTTGTAGTGCACCGGGCCCATCACCCCTGCGTCGCAGCACTGACGTCCTCTGCGACGGCTTGGGAGGCTTGTGCGCCTTAGGCGTCTGTTGCGTGGTGGCCTGCTGCACGGCTGGCTCCGGCCTCCCTCCGTTCTTCTTGGCCGTCCCGCAGCAGCAGCAGCCAATCGCCCCGATGCCCGCCGCAAGCAGCACTGCGATCTTGGCCACCACCTTCAGCGCCGTCCCCACCGGGACAACGATCGCCACCGTGCCCATCTGCGGTTCCCAGCGAAGCATGGCCCCTTGCGCCCTGCCGTCAATTGCTGCCACTTCTTGGCTCTGTATCTCTCCGGCTGCCGTCGTGAGCGCCGTCACCACCAGCGCGGCGCACGGCGTGCCTGCGCGGGGGATGCGGGCTCTGCAGCTGCTGCCGCGCCTGCTGGCCGCTCCTCCGCGCCCTCGCTGCTGCTCGCGCCGCCACGCAAGCTCCCAAGCCGACCGGGAGCACGAGGATCAGCAGGTTCTGGCTCTCCACCGGGTTGACCTTGATCACGTAGCCGTCTGCACTGCCAGCTGTGGCGGCGAGCGTTGTCACGGCCACGGCGCTGCTCTGGGCCACAGCGGGGTCGGGCTCCTGCCTGCGCGGCGCTCGCCCTCGGCCGCATGGGCCGGCGGCGCCGTGAGCTCAGACGTGTCCGTCGCCATGTTGGTCGAGATGCCGCGCATGGGCTCGTGGCTCTCTCACAGGTGCCCGTGGAAGCTATCGTGGGCCCAGCGCCCGAAGCGCTTGACGCGCTGCAGCTCGTCCACGGCGTGGTACATCGCTGTCGCGCCCCCGATGCGGAGGCTGCGCGAGCCGATCTCCTCCTTCCTCAGCCCGTCGGCCAGCCCTGCGATCGTCAGCTAGTGCTGCGCCTCCTCACGACGAATAGGTGCTCCGCTCGCCCAGCGGAAGAGCGGGAGCTCCTCCTCGCTCCGTCGCAGCCTCTGCGGGTAGTGCCGCTCCAGCTGGCGGAGGGCTGCCACGGGGCACAGCGACGTGCCCGTCTCGTATTGATTCCTTACGCACCCCACATTGTACTGGTCTGTCTTCGAGGAGGTGATGTGGAGCACCACTTCCACCGCGTCCTTGAAGGTGCAAGGCTGGTTGTTGCCGTCGCGGCCCGTGATGTCCACTCCACGCACGACGCGCTCTCGGCTCCATGTCTTCCCGGGCTGGATCAAGTACTCGGACGCCCTCAACATGAAGAAGAAGGCCACCGCCACGGCGGCCCACAAGACTGCGGCGTCCATCTCGGGGAGATCCGTCTGGCCCCTCAAGAAGCCCTGGAGCCACGGGAGCATGCGGGGCGTCACTGGCCGCTTCCGCCCGCTCGGCCCCTGGCCTCTCCGGAGGCCGGCGAGCGTGGAGCAGAGGCGGCCCCGGTGGAGTAGAGGGCCCGGGTATCCGACCACGAGGCACTGCGAACAACTTCTGCTTGATCGTACCCTCCGTGCGCTTCAGCACCTTGGCCAACACGACGACGAAGCCCAGCAGTGCCTCCTCGTTGGCGTGTCGCTCCTCGCGGTCACGTCCCTCCAGCCAGGGCGACTCTCCTTGGGCTGCCCTGAAGCCCTGCCACTGCTTCCAGCCGGTCTCATAGCCGGCGCGGGTTCCCTCGGACAGCCGCAGCATCAGCGCCTCGCGCTTCTGCTCCTCGATCCACCCGCCGTAGTCCCCCCCTCCCAGAGTCGGGTGGTCAGGCAGGGCGACGGTGGCACGCGCGCGGCCCAGCGCGACCGGCTTGACCAACCCCTGGGTCTCCACCTTTTTGCCCCGGTTGGGGCTCCTCTTCCGCCGCTTCTTGGGCGCGCTGACGACTGCGTTCAGGTCCACCTCCTCGGCGTCAGGGGCGGGCTCGGGACCCCGCACGAGATCCTCCTCGATGGCCTTGAAGCGGACGCCTTGACTCTTGCGCCTCGCCTTGTGGGCGTCATCGCTCAGCGCCCCAGCGTGCTGGTCGTTCTCGGGGTTGTCGGCCTTCATCCGGAGCTCGCCCCGTGCCCAGGTCCTGAGCCACCGCCGGGTCGTCTCCCAGGCGGCCGACTCCGCGGGATCGTGGCAGCCGCCCGCCCGCTGAGTGGTCTGCGCCAGCGCGCCCACAGTGGCGCCCAGTACGGCTCTCGCCGTCTCGGGTGGCAAGGACCTCGCTGCTTCTCGCATCAAAGTGGCCTCGGTGTCGCCTTGGGCTCGCCTCTTCACCCAAGTCGCTTCATCGCCTCCCTGCACGATCCAGACCTCCTCTGGCGACAGCGCCCTGATGCGCCCGCCGCTGTGTCCTGGGACGTGGATCAGCGTTCCTCCCGGTCCGCCCGGGCCCTCGGCGGGCCAGCGAACCGTGCCGATCGGGCCGTCGACTGAGCAGACCAGGTGCTTCGTGCCAGCGAGCATGTGGCCGATGCCCTTGGGCAGTGTAGGGTCGGAGCGCCCTCGAGCTGCTGGGTCCCAGGTGGCGCTTCCCTCGTCGTCGAGCCAGTGGTGACTGCCTTCGCTGAGCTTATCCTTCAACGCGTGCTTCACCTCGTGGGGGCAGCGGCGCGCCGGCGGCATGCGCATGCCCGCCAGGCTGGCGCCTGCTGGCCCTCGACCTGCCACGATCAGGCTCCGAGCTCGGGCTGTCATGTCGCCGCAGTGAGTGCAGACGACCTCCAGGTCGTACGGGCGGTACCCCAGCTTGCGCAGCACTTTGACAACGCGGGTCAGGTCGAGCTTGCCAGGATCGTCGACCACGACGACCTGCGGCCTCGCCCGAGTGATGGCGGACACCAACATCTCGACTTCGAAGCCCTTCGAGTCCAGGGACAGCGTGCACATGATCCAGTCCACCCCTGTTGGGTTGCCCGTTGTCAGTTCACCACCGAGCTGCTCCCAGGCGCGCCCGCAATTCCCCAGTGGGCTCCCCAGTTCAAGGCCCCGGCGCCCCGCGAGGGCGAGGCTGCGTGGCACTGCTGCCGGGGTCCTCAGCGCCCGATGACGGAGTGCTGACTCTGCAATGGGCCCATCCCCCCCAGGCAATTGCAAGAGGTGTTCCTTTGCCTCGGCCAGCATCTTCCCCCGCTCCTCGGGCGGCTCGATGCGGGTCCACCCCTTGCGCAGGAGCTCGGAGTGGACTTTCTTGGCTCTTCCCGCGACAGCCAGTCCGCGATGTCGTTGTGGTAGGTGCGGATGTACAGTGCGGTCGTGCTGAACCCGTGGCAAGCCTCTAGGCGCTGAACGAGGCGAATGAGATGCCGCGCGAGCGGGTGCTTGGGCCGCCTCTTGGAAATCCACGACCGCACGTTCATGTTATCGGTGACGTAGAAGACCAGCTCGCCTTGCCACTCGCCACCCCTCGCGGCAGCCAGGGCCACAAATGCAAGCAGCTCCACGATGGCTATCGCCCAGTCCTTCTCGGCCCCCGGGTCCCCCTTTAGGCCAGCTGAGCCTGCGCCCCGGCGCACCACTGGGCTGCTGTGACATTGCGCGGCTCCCTCAGGGCTGTTGCGGTGCTGTGCGCGGGCAGCCTGCGCCATGGCGTCACGCCCTGCAGAGCAGCCCCCCACAGGACTGCTGTGGCGCCGTGCGCGGGCAGCCTGCGCCATGGCGTCACACCCTGCAGAGCAGCCCCCCTCAGTGCTGTTGCGGCGCTGTGCAAGGACAGCCTGCGCCAGGGCGTCACGCCCTGCAGAGCAGCCTCGCGCAGGGCTGTTGCGGCGCTGTGCAGGGGCAGCCTGCGCCAGGGCGTCACACCCTGCAGAGCAGCCTCGCGCAGGGCTGTTGCGGCGCTGTGCAGGGACAGCCTGCGCCAGGGCGTCACACCCTGCAGAGCAGCCTCCCGCAGGGCTGTTGCGTCGCTACGCGGGCAGCTTGCAGGGCGCAACTATCGCCCCGTCCTGCAGGGCACGGGCGAAGGCGGCAACCTCGTTTGGCACCTGCTGGGAAGGACAGCGCCCCACAACACGCCATCCGCACCTCAGCGCCGAGCACGGCCGGAGCAGCGTGCCAATCAACCAACCAACCAAGGAAGAGGAAGGGAGGACAACGTGGCAGCCCCACGCGAAGTACGCCAGCTTCTGCGAGGCCACCGGCCGTGAGATGCGAGGATCCGCCGCGCCGCGGAGGCACTGCCAGGCAGTGAGCCAAGGACAGGAAAGGCCAAGAAGCCAAGAGGAAAGGAGGCAAGAGCCGCGTTGCCCTGAACATTTTCCTGCCCCCCAAATCGCTGCGCGATTTGGGGGCTATAAAAACAGGCTCCAGAAGGACCCCGGGCTCAGAAGGACCCTGGGCAGGAGTGGCGAGGGGGGTGGGGGGGGCGAACGCCATGCAAGTAAACTTGCCTGAATCAAAAAAAACAGTTCTCTCCACGCCGGCGGCGCCGACGCGGCGCGAGCCTCCGGTCCAGCGGCCGGAGCCCCATCTCCGGGGGGCCTCTTTGGCGCTGCGCCCGGGAGGCGTTCTGCACGGCCGTCGGGCCCGAGGGAGGCGACTGAAGGGGCCCCAGGACACACAAATGAACACACACAAATAACAATATTCTCTGGATTTTTCCATATTTTCCGGGTTTTTGTCTTCCCCCAGCCTTCCCATATTTCTTCGTATTTTCTTGGGAATCGACGATTAATTGTGTCTGTGTGTTTTTTCCACTCCTGAGCGACGTTCCGAATGTCACGCAAGTCGGTGTTCTCACAGAGTGTGGTGGCCACAGAAGCTCGGGAGTGCAAGTGGGAGTCGTCTAAAGTTACGTCGGGCACGTCCTTCTAGAAGGGGGGGAAATTCAAGAGTAGTCAAAACAAATTGTCTGGGGACGATCGTTTGATTATATTTTGGCCATTGGGGGGCTTTATTGTAGTATTTGCATATTTTTCGTTCGAACCCCCCCTGTAGGAGGACAGGCCCGGCTTAAGTCTAAACAAACCCTCCACCTCCACCTTCCATCCCTTCCGACCTCCGCGGGAGTTGCGGAAGAATGCGTCGACATGCACGGACCATTGCCTGCGCAGTTCAAGGGGGCCCACGCAGATCATGTCGAAAAAGGAGCGGGAGGTCAGGGCGGAAGGTCCGACAGAGTGAGGGGGAGGGGGAGCCGAGATCGAGGAGGCAAGACAACCGGGCCGAAAGAGTCACATCGTCGGCGGCCCACAGCATGTGGCGGCCAGGTGGCGGCGGGGCTCCTCCAGCGGCAGCGGGTGCGCCAGCGAGCCAGGCCGTCCGGGTGCAGCTCCTGGGAGGAATTCTGGACCGGCACTGGCACGTCCCCGGTCGGAGACTGGCTTCCCAGACATGCTCGCGTCCTGCAGAGATCAGAAGCGGTGTTGGGGCCCTATAGGTTGGCCCCAGCACCGTCAAGGAAAACATTCAGGATGAAGAACTGGTCCTGGGGACAGGGGGGGACCTTCCAGGGACCCCATCTTAACAAAAGGAAGGACAGCGCATGTCTGCCTCGATCCCGCTAAATCGGGCTTAGTTCCGCCCATTTCGGCTTAATCCCGCTTGGTCCTGGGTCGAATCTGTTATCATCTGGCTCAATGGCCCCTTCATCGGGCCTGATACCGGCCACGCGCAGAGGGGTGTACGGGGAGGGGGGAAGTCTTCTTAGAAGTACCCCTGCTTCTTAGAAGGTGCGGGCCTTACTTATCTATATAGCGACGGCCCGCGCCTTCTGTGAAGCAGCCTCATTCTAAGAAACCTTCGCCCCCTTTTGCGCGCCGCCAATAATGGCCCTTATTCCGGATTTTTTGTTGGGCGTTACATAGGGGGGTGGTTGATTTGAGTTGTCTTGGAGGGCTCGGGTTGGGGTCTGGGCGCAAGGCCGCCTGCTCTTAGCTGGCCTGGGGGGGTCTAAAACTGCCCGTCTTGGAGGGTTGTGACACCCTCCCTGTCTTTCCGAAACTTGGAGCATGTAGTGTTTCTGGCGAAGACCTCCCGAGAGCTGCAGCCGAGAGGTCGCCCCCCGCAGCGCCTGCAGCTCGCCGGGCCCCGCGCCGCTCGGCGGCGCGGGCTCGCCGGAGCGGGCGCCGCTGGCCCTCGGCGCGGCGGCCGCGCTGTCGCTGGGTGGGCGGCCGTCGCCTGGCAGCCCGGACTGCACGCAGTCGGCGCCGCTCGTGCCCAGCGCTTCGCGGCAGCGCGGCCGGACAGGCTGATCCATACGCCCCTCCTCCCTTCCCTCCTCCCCCCCTCCTCCTCCTCCTCCTCCTCCTCCTCCTCTTCCTCCTCTTCCTCCTCTTCCTCCGCCTCCTCCTCCTCCTCCGCCTCCGCCGCCTCGGCGGATGTCGGCCCCTCCTCCCCTCCTCCGCCTCCTCCCCTCCTCCGCCTCCTCCTCCGCCTCCTCGGCGCCGCTCGTGCCGAGCGCTTCGCGGCAGCGCGGCCGGACGTCGGTATCGTTTCGCCGATCCCCATCCCCATCTCCATCCCCTTCGAGACGCCCACCGAATTACCACCCCAGTTGGGGATTCACCCTCGAAACCCGAGGGGAGCGGCCTATATCCCCATCTGGGGATGGTAAATGGGCCAGTGGGGCCCAGGCCACGCCGCTGGGGACGGGGATCGGTTAAACATTACTCAGGACATGCGCGTTTCGGCGGAGGCGAAGTCCATACGGAGTAGTGAGTCCATGCGGAGCGTTCGGTCCCCACGTGGACTTACTCCGCCTGGACGTGGCCTCACGAAGTAGGCCCACACGAGGCAAGCTCTGCTCCCGAGAGGAGGGGCCAATTAGGTCCACACGAAGTGAGTCCAGACGATGTGCCCGGTCTCCGTCGTATCGTACTCCGTCTGGACTCGGCCTCTTCTGAGCGTGAAAAGGCGCGGGTGAAACATTGCCCCGTGTCCGCGGTCTCGCGGGCTGGGCCCCTGGGCCACGACCCCGCGAATACGATTTGGTTGTTGCGGATGCACCGCGTGGAGCGCTCCCGTGCTACCTCGTATCCCCCGGCATCCAGACCGCGAAGGCGCGGACACGGACGTGTCCGTTTCTCGTGAGGAGTGCAGGGGAAAGGGACACGCGTAAACATGGACTCACGGAGGTCCTCCAGCGCCGGAGGCGGGGGGGGGGTCCGGCGCCAGAGAGAGATCCGCGCGGACCGACACGAGATTACAGTAGGGGTCTTGAAGAAGGAATGGTTTTCGATTGGGAGGGGCTCGGTGTTCCTTGATTGTTTCAAAGTTTTCCTCGGGTTTTCCTGGGTTCTCCATAGGAACTCGAGGTTGAACTGATGGGAAAAAGGGGCCTCGTTCCTTATTTAGTGTTCCTTAGGTCAACGCCTCGAGGGGGGGGCACGGAAATCACGCAAGTCGAAAGGCACTTGCACGTTAGTATTCGCTTGAAGAGGGGCGAGGGGGGGGGGCGAACGCCATGCAAGTAAACTTGCCGGAATCCAAGCAAAAAAAAACAGGGTCATGGACTCACGGAGGTCCTCCAGCGCCGGAGGCGGGGGGGGGGTCCGGCGCCAGAGAGAGATCCGCGCGGACCGATAAGAGCTTGTGCTCATGGCACTCTCTTGTTCCTGTGTTCGGTGCGGGCCCGCAGGGGCCCTCCCCAGCACCGGCCTGCGCGCCTTTGGAGCTCGCCCTCCTGCGGCCGCCCCCTCCTCCTCCGCCTCCTCCTCGTCCTCCTCATCCTCCCTCCTCCCTCCTCCTCCTCCTCCTCCTCCTCCTCCTCCTCCTCCTCCTCCTCCTCCTCCTCCTCCTCCTCCTCCTGAGTGTCCTTCTGGAGTGTAGCCGATGATGTGCTGAGCTGGGTCAGGGAAGGGGGGGGAGGGGGGATAAAACAGGGCCAGGATCGGGATGAATCGCTCCAGAGCGTCCCGGAGCGCTCTCAGAGCGTTTCGGAACGCTCGGGAGCGGCCGCGGCGCCCAACACATCCTCCAAATTCGCCCATTCTCAGAGATCCCGATCCGATTTTGTCCCGATCCTCGTGTCGTTTTAGGGGAAGGCTTCTTAGAAACACCCCTGCTTCTTGGGAAGCGCGGGCCTGATGTGACGAGGTAGGGTTGGCGTCTTCTGAGAAGCAGCCTCCTTCCGAGGAGCCTCCCCCCCTCCCCCTACGCCCTCATGCGCGGCGGCAAGTGTAGCCGATGCTGTGTTGAGCTGGAGGCATTCTTGGTGCCAGGGGCACGTATGCTGGACAGTTGCAGTCAGGGCCCCTCCCTGCGTGCCCTTCTCGTGCCCAGCCCCCCCTCTTGCGGGCGTCCTGGGTTGCCGAGGGGCCATCTGAGGCCGTCCTGGGTCCGCCTGGAGGCTCTGGCCAGCTTGGGGCTTTCTTCGGGCAGCCTGGAGCCCTTCAATTAAGCTACCGAGGAACCCCACATACTTATTTTATGCGGCCGAGCTGAGAGACCACCCCCTGCGCACCCCCTGTGGTGTCGAGAAAGTGCCACGCCTGCTAGGCTTTGCGCCAGTGTCGTGGATCGCGGCCGAGCTGAGAGACCACCCCCTGCGCACCCCCTGTGGTGTCGAGAAAGTGCCACGCCTGCTAGCCTTTGCGACAGTGTCGTGGATAGCGACCGAGCTGAGAGACCACCCCCTGCGCACCCCCTGTGGTGTCGAGAAAGTGCCACGCCTGCTAGCCTTTGCGCCAGTGTCGTGGATAGCGGCCGAGCTGAGAGACCACCCCCTGCCCACCCCCTTTGGTGTCGAGAAAGTGCCACGCCTGCTAGGCTTTGCGCCAGTGTCGTGGATAGCGGCCGAACTGAGAGACCACCCCCTGCGCACCCCCTGTGGTGTCGAGAAAGTGCCACGCCTGCTAGGCTTTGCGCCAGTGTCGTGGATAGCGACCGAGCTGAGAGACCACCCCCTGCGCACCCCCTGTGGTGTCGAGAAAGTGCCACGCCTGCTAGGCTTTGCGCCAGTGTCGTGGATAGCGGCCGAGCTGAGAGACCACCCCCTGCGCACCGCCTGTGGTGTCGAGAAAGTGCCACGCTTGTTAGGCTTTGCGCCAGTGTCGTGGATAGCGGCCGAGCTGAGAGACCACCCCCTGCCCACCCCCTGTGGTGTCGAGAAAGTGCCACGCCTGCTAGCTTTGCGCCAGTGTCGTGGATAGCGGCCGAGCTGAGAGACCACCCCCTGCGCACCGCTGTGGTGTCGAGAAAGTGCCACGCCTGCTAGCCTTTGCGCCCAGTGTCGTGGATAAGGACCGCGGTGAGAGACCACCCCCTGCGCACCCCCTGTGGTGTCGAGAAAGTGCCACGCCTGCTAGGCTTTGCGCCAGTGTCGTGGATAGCGGCCGAGCTGAGAGACCACCCCCTGCCCACCCCCTTTGGTGTCGAGAGAGTGCCACGCCTGCTAGGCTTTGCGCCAGTGTCGTGGATAGCGGCCGAGCTGAGAGACCACCCCCTGCGCACCCCCTGTGGTGTCGAGAAAGTGCCACGCCTGCTAGCCTTTGCGCCAGTGTCGTGGATAGCGGCCGAGCTGAGAGACCACCCCCTGCCCACCCCCTGTGGTGTCGAGAGAGTGCCACGCCTGCTAGGCTTTGCGCCAGTGTCGTGGATAGCGGCCGAGCTGAGAGACCACCCCCTGCGCACCCCCTGTGGTGTCGAGAAAGTGCCACGCCTGCTAGCCTTTGCGCCAGTGTCGTGGATAGCGGCCGAGCTGAGAGACCACCCCCTGCGCACCCCCTGTGGTGTCGAGAGAGTGCCACGCTTGCTAGGCTTTGCGCCAGTGTCGTGGATAGCGGCCGAGCTGAGAGACCACCCCCTGCCCACCCCCTGTGGTGTCGAGAGGGTGCCACGCCTGCTAGCCTTTGCGCCAGTGTCGTGGATAGCGGACCGAGCTGAGAGACCACCCCCTGCGCACCCCCTGTGGTGTCGAGAGAGCGTCACGCTTGCTAGCCTTTGCGCCAGTGTCGTGGATAGAGGCGAGCAGAGACTGCCCACCCCTTCGGTGTCGAGAGGGTGCCACGCCGCTAGCTTTCGCGCCAGGTCGTGGAGAGCGGCCGAGAGGAGAGACACCCCCTGCGACCCCGCGGTGTCGAGACGCGCCACGCTTGCTAGCCTTTGCGCCAGTGTCGTGGATAGCGGCCGAGTGAGAGACCACCCGTTCCCACCCCCTTTGGTGTCGAGAAAGTAGCCACGCCTGCTAGGATGCGCCAGTGTCGTGGATAGCGGCCGAGCTGAGAGACCAACCCCTGCGCACCCCCTTTGGTGTCGAGAAATGGCCACGAGCTGTGCTGAGCTGAGCCGTGCTGGGCTGTGCTGAGCTGTGCTGAGCTGAGCCGAGCTGTGCTGTGCTGAGCTGAGCTGAGTCGTGCTGTGCTGAGGTGAGTTGAGCTGAGCTGAGCAGTGCTGTGACGAGGGGGGAAGAGTGAAGTGTGTGTGTGTGTGTGTTTGTGTGAGTGAGTGAGGGGAGGAAGAACGAGAGAGGAGGGGAGGTGTGAGGAGACGCGGGTGCGGCGCGGCAGGGAAGATAACCAGAACCCCACGAAGCATGTGGGGAACAAAAATCGTTGATCTGGGCTTCGTCGGACCCTCGGGAATGTCCGATTGGAGCCATCTTGTGCGGTTATCAATCAGAGCGTGAATTACCTCCCCCGCTTTCGCTTCCGGGCAAAACCAAGCCATACCACGCGCCTCGTCAAGCGGCCTGACCAGTACAGGCTGCAATTTGGCATCGTTTGGTATCTCTTGGAAGCGAGGGTGGTCAAAAGCGAGGTAGGTTTGTTCTCCCCCTATGTGCGGTTATCAAGGCCTTTTGGACCGTCTTGAGGGCATACTGGGCAGTCTTGAGGCCCAGTCAGGCCGTCTCAGAGCCGTCTCGGGCTGTGTTGAAGGCATCTCGGCCTCGTGAGCAATAGCGTGGAGTTGTTTTGTGCGTTGTCGCCTCGAGAGCGTGAGTCTGAGTATACTACGAGGGGGAAGCGCCTGGACGGATCAAGGCGCGTGGACTCGCGACGGCGTTCGCTCAGAATCAGCGCGCTCCGTCGCCAGATCAGGCAGCACTGGCCGAACGGTTCGGGGGTTGCCGCTCTCGATCCGTGGGGCCGGAGCCCACAAATCCATGTGAGCGTGCGACAGGCGTGCCGCTCCCTCCGCGCCCGATGGGCGGCATGCCTTGTGATGCAGGCGCCCCTTCAGTAGTAAGTCGTGGGGGGTGGGGGAGGGGGACAAGGAAAGGGGGAGGAGGAACTCTGAGATCCGAGTTCGCGAACAAGTTGCAGCATCGTAGACAATCACGACCGGGGCCCTCGACCCCATCTTCCCGCGCCACGTTTCGAGCCAGATCGATATATGAGTTCCCCGGGGCCCGAAATTGTGCGAAAACGCCCGATTCGAAAACATTGCGACGCCAGGATCTCAAGGAAGGGAGGAGGGTGGACAAGACAGGGGAGGAAATCAGAATGTCACATGTGAGCCACAAACCTTCGCCCCCCCCCCAGAGCTTCTCCAGCGAAGCGGGGACAAGGAGGAAGGTGGCGATGACCTGAAGCCTTCGCATGATGTCTGTATTCTGAACGCGCGGCGGCAGCCAGGGATGAAGATCGTGTCCAGGCGGTGGAAGTACATCCCGCTCATTGCGAACGCAAGCGCCTCAATAGTTTTGCATTCCTGCGCTATGGAGGGGGAGGAGGAGGAGGAGGAGGAGGAGGAGGAGGA